CAAGTCGTATCAATGCGCGAGTGCTCACTGCAAATAACCATTATTTGATGCATCTGCCGTATTCGGTTGAACAGATGGGGCCATTAAAATGCTACTCTTGCCGACCAATGGAGCGGACAATTAAGAAGTTCACCAACTTGATCAAGTCCACGCATCTTATAGGGGCAAATGCTTCGAACGTCCTTCGTCACCAGGCGAATTATAACACGATGGCGGTTAGATGTCTGCAGTCTATTCAATTCCCTGAATTTACGGATCGTCCAGACACCTACCGTTCGCATTCCTCTGGTGCCCAAGTCTGGTGTCCGTTTATTCCTCAGTCGTTGCTTGGATCAGATTCGGAAAAATATGCTTCGGTGTCCCGAGATCGAAGGTGATTGATGCATTGATATCACATTATGATCATAAGGTTGGGGATGAAATTCGGCAATTGACCTCGTCATCCATTGTGATTGCAAGTCGAGCTTGGAACGATGACTTGGTATTTTCTTCGATTATGGACATAACCTTGAAAAACTTAAAGACAAGAGCAAATAATATTGTCCTGTTTAAGACTCCCAAAAGTACTGGTCACAGGTAAGCAAAAGACATTTGACAAACTTTATTGGTACTTACAGCATAAAATTTAGATCTATTTCCATTTGGTTTGTCGGTGTGGTTCACTGATACTTTACACACAAGCAAGAAGGTGAAGAAACGTTTTTGGCTATCGTTGAAGTAATGAAGCAGCAGCAATTCGACGCTCACAATGTTGTCACAGTTGCTCGGAATTCCAGGGGTGACAGATACAAGAAGTACGCTGTTATTTCCATTACAGACTTTCTCCAAGTGGTTGGTCTTGTACGGTATTCCGATTCCGCTAACTTTTTCAAGATTGTTTGGCCGTACATTAAATATACTGACAAGGTTGTGGTGATCTGCTATATTGTTGCTACATTAAATAAACCTATATCTATGACATCAATACATTAAGAATGATTAAGGAATCAATTACCCAATATAGATAGTTAGTACTATCATATCACAAGGTTACAAAAACACAGTGACAAAGGCTTACTAAAGATATGGAAGTACAATGTGTCTAAGATGACAGTAATTCCAAGTGTAACATATTTACAAAATAAGTAGATAAAGGTAACAGGATACACACTGGGAAAATGATAACAACTTCAAAGATACACTAAAGATAGTGGTACAGCAGATAGTCTTTTTTATATAAATACTTGTTCATTTTATTTCATAATAAAGATAATCTTATAAAACAGTCTCAAATTACTTATATACTGCCTTATAATTTTACTTACCTCAAAACACAACAAAGGTTAATCATCTTCCTGCTGGTTCTTTAGCTGATTTGTAGGCTGGTCGTATCTTTCTCTGTTTTGCGTAGACAAGTTTTATTGTAATTAAACTTTCTTCAACAATTCATCTAATGGAGTGATTACTATTTTATTCAATCTGATGTGTTAATTGGCAATGCTTGTAAAAGAAAAAAATTTAAAACATAGCAAAGGAAAAGAAATAATTAAATAAAAAAATTATATTCCGATGGTTGCGTATTTTATCGACCATGTTGCGTCTTTCCGCAACGTGTCGCGGAATTCCACTACCGAGTCCGCGGTGTAGCAATAGTAGGCTTTAAGAGGATAGTTTTGCAGAAAAAAAGGTAGAAAAAAACAATAGGATCAATTGGAATTCTTGTCAGAGTTTATTGATGTTAAAGTTAACTAAAGATTTAAGAAGAGGAAAAATAAAGAGTATTTATAATAAATGGAATGGACGAGGCTGAGGATACTACTCTTAACAATATGAGTATGCTATCAATAACAATATCTATATTGGACAATTAGTGCTACGCATAGTCAATAGAGAAATAATAACAATAACATGTCTTAAGTTTGGACATTGGTGTTACGATACCGTGACACTTTAAAATAGTGACCGGCTTTAGCGAATTCCCTTTTTATGCCTGATCATGATTTAGCTATCATTTATCAGTGATGATGAGATATGAATTTATTATATGTACAATCTCTATGTGTGATTTAGCACACGGGGCTGTGATAGTGTTTACATTTTTTAGTGGATCTTATACTCAACTATGATTTTGATTGAATTATAGTTTGTGGTAAAGTGTACTGGTTTACACAGAAAAACTAAAACAAATTAAACCATAAATCCAGTGTGGTTTTATTCTAGGTTAAAAAGTTAAAACTAAACTAAAAGAAAAGTATCTCTCTAGAAACTTAACTATCTGTATTAATTGGAAGATATTAAATATTTATAATTGTGACAAGCTGTTACTGTGCTTATCATTGTTTTATGATTGAAAAACTAGATTTTGTGAATGTTATAAATAACTGAGGGTGTGTCTCAGTATAATTAAAATAGGTATATTTGGATCCCAAAACACTCTGTAGCGTAGCACATAGTATTCGATTTCTGTTTCCGTATTGTAAGATTTTGTCCTGTTCTCCGACCAATGGTTGTATAGGGATAAAGATATTTTACCGATTTTCTTTTTCCTTCCGCCAAATTGAATGGCTAAAACAAGTTTTCACAATGCGAAGTTCTTTGTTTAACTCTTTATTAATAAGCTGAATATGCTATCTAGAACATGGGGTTTTGATACAGTAGTCGCTCGATTTAAGGGTGTTCGATTTAAGGGTATTTTCTATTTAAGGGTGGATTTTTGAAAAACAACTTCCGTCCCCAGCATTAACACCACTAAACCACTATTCTATTCAAGGGTGAGATCCCAATTCCCCATACCCTTAAATCGAACGGGTTTTTACCATATTTGGGTTTTTTTTTTTTTTTTTTTTTTTTTTTGGTGCCCAGTCGAAAAAAAAAATTTATCAGTAACAAATCATCATTTTTTAAAGTCATTTGTGACAAGAGAAATAATTTTTTTATTGGAAAAAGCGACGAATATCAGCTTGTTCTTTCAAATTTTCTATTTCAGCACGAGATTCAGCCAATCTCATTCTAACACGTCTATGGAACTGATTGTCCAAGTCATCCAAAGGCACATCCAAAGCCAGAATCGTCTCATAAGCTTCCCTCAACCGTTTTTTACAATCATTGATATCGACGTATATCTCCTGTTCAAAAATCATTGGGATCTCCTCCTCTCCGTCCATCACGATCTCCTCATCATCGATGATAAACATCTCGTCAGAATCCAGATCCAGCTGACTGACATCAGTGATCTCGTTGTCTGAATTACCAGGAAGATCGGGCAACAAATGGTTGATCTCCTGGACAACGTTATCTTCCAGAGGCCAGGGGACAGTGGGTGGCAAAGCTAAAGTGTCAGGGTTCTCTTTAAATCCCAAGATATTGGTATGCCTCCAACAATTCTTAATTGTCTCAGGTGTTACCTTTAACCAAGCATTGGCCAAGAAAAACATGGCTTGCACCTGATTCATGTTGTAAACATCCAAGTTATCTAACTGTTTGCTGGCGAACAAATCGAGACTTCTCATGTACTGTTGGGAGCGAAAGTAAGCCTTAAAGTTGGCAATAATTCCTAAATAAAGTGAAATAAAATTAGTACTTCGACTTAAAAAACAGTATCCTTGTTTATTTTGTCTACCTGCATCGAGAGCTTGCAACATACTCGTTGTGTTGGCAGGAAGAAACACCAACTTTATGTTCACCGGCTTGAACTTCAACTTATGCACTGAGGCATTGTCTAAAAGAAGAGCCACTTTTCTACCCTCTCTACCAAAAGCATTGTCCAGTTTTTTGACATAAGCCGAGAAGATCTCGGTAGTCATCCAAGCTTTAGGCGAGTGGTGGTACTCCACGTATCGACGGGTACCAATGGCTGTCATTGAAAGCATTTTCGGGTTTTTCTTGAAGCAACGAGGGCTTTTGAATTGCCCAATTACAATGGGATGGCCTTTGTACGTACCATCCGCATTGCAAAGTAGCCCCACAGTTACACGGGTCTTACTCTTCTTCAACCCACCAAGTGGTTGTGAGCAAATTGTTCTTCTTGGTGGTTGATTGTAGTACAATCCGGTCTCGTCGAAGTTCATAATATCAGCAAGAGGATAATTTGTCAATTCTTCCCGAATTTTTTTAAGCTGGTCTTGAATGCTTTGGGAATTGACATCCACAGAGGCACATTCACCATGAGTTGGTCTACATTTTAAACCGAGACGTTTGAAGACCTTGGAAAGCCATCCATCAGAGAAGGTAATATCATCAGTGATGGAGTACTTTGAACGAGCGATGCGCTTGACGTACTCGATGATACAGGCACGGTTTACTGGTATGCTGCAGTCATTCATATGATTCACGAATTTTTCCACTTCTTCGTCAAGTTGAGGATACTTGGGTAGCTTCAAACTCTTGCTATTCTTGATAACAACAATGTTAGAATACAACTGATCGGCATTGTTGAGGATGTTTGACACAGTTTGTTGTGAAAGAGGTTTTATTAAATCAAACTTTTTTTGTGCCCATTTTCCGAGCTCTATCTGATTGGTGTTTCCCATTCCAAACTGATCTAAAATTTCAATTTTTTGGGAAATTGTAAGACGTAAACGTGTGTTGCTCATATTGAATAAAATAAAGATATGCAAGGATTGACAAAGTGTATCCAAAGTTTTATTATATAAGATATTCAAAATTTAACAGCAGCTGGCACCTGGGGACTGTTTTCTAAAGAGTAGTCACGATTTTCGATATAAGGGTATTTTCTATTTAAGGGTGAGATTTCCGAAATTTCTGGTCACTCTTAAATCGAGCGACTACTGTAATAAACAAACAGTAATTAAGTTTCTTTCAATAGTGATATATTCAAGGAAGAATATACATGTTTTATTTATTCCATTGCACGTAATATACTGATTGAAAGTAAAAAGTACTTGTTAATTGTAAGAATGGACTATGCCATTGTGGATAATCCTGACTAAACGATTTTGATTGTGATTTTAATATTTAAAGAGTCACGGGCTGTTTAATTAGCTCTTCCATGTTATACCAAAATGTATGTCAGCATTCGGCATTACATAAAGCATTACGGAAGTAAACACAAATTTTTTTTTATTGTAAATGCGAATATTCTTTGTTGCTTAGTTCATGTCATTCTATTTTAGCACATTTCTTGTACGCTATGGTCCTTGAAGTCATTTAATTTTGGAGGAAGTAAACGTATCAAATGTACATTACATTAACGTCTATTGCGACTAACTTTAGGTATAATTGACGTAATTAGCAGTTTCAAAACAAAGTACAGTACGTGTAACATTAAGATCGAAATTCTAACGAAGCAATTGAGAAAGTCTTGCAGACCTGTCTCACAAATCAGAAATTGTCAAAACAAAAAACTATTCAAGTATCGATTTTAGAATTTATTTTTTATTTTCCCTCTTTTTCTACTTCTTTTCATTATTATAACGTGGCTGAAGATACTGCTAAGGATAACATGTAGACCACTGCATTGCCAGCTCGTCCCGGTTATGATCTGCTCACTAGGATGCTGTTCAATGATAACTACGTAAAGGATATTGTAGTCAAGGCCGTCATTGAGAAAGGTATCTGCGGAGATGCGCAGTATGTTGGCTCTGAAGAGAGGCACGATGGGAGGAGGAATGATGTCGTCTATTATCCTTTGGCAACACCTTCGGAAGAGCTTCGTTCTGTTATTATGGAAATCCAAATGAATGTCACGAAGGAGTTTGTTTCGTATGTGGTACAGACACACTAGCATGAAACAGCCATTATACGTAGCTCAAAACTGTCGGGCGCGCATTTTTTCGATTTTTAAAAGTTATGTTGATCGATGAGTTTTAGTGATAAAAATAAACCAAAAATACGGATAGATAGGGTAGACGTCAGACTATTGGAAACAATTGTAAACGCCCTGGTTACAAATTGATTGAAAGAGTTAAATTAAAAAAACGGTTAAAAGTGCCATTGTTGGTAGTGATACATTGTTAAGATGACAAATATAACCGGGTTTACTCAATTTGAATATGATGTATTGAAGAAAGCGCGCAAAACCAATTATTGGTCGATAAAGACGCGTTAAAAGATGACTGTTGTTAATACGGGTGGAATTTGAAAGGGAAGGTGGCGATATATTGTCGTGGGGAAAAAAAATTAATTTTTTAATCATTTTTGAACATTTTCATCATTCTTCTTTTTTTTGAATCTTTTTTTTGTCTATTTCTCTTTTTCTTTTAAATGTTTGCAATAAAAACAAAGCTAACCAAACTATTCAAGATGTTCGAGAGGCAGATCAAGGGGATGAAAGATAAAACAGAGGATAATACACGAGGATATACGCTTGTTGTCGGAAAGTATAATTTCAGATTATAAAGTCGTGATGTATGATTCAAAGTGAATATGCACCATGGACAAATGGGCAAGAATATGTGCATTGAAATAAAAACAAATATAGACAGGATATCTTGGTGTGAATAGATGAAGAACAGCGTAGAGGGTATGGATGAAAAAAGAGTTGGTTGGCTAACGACGGCTCTTTCTGTGGAAAGACCGACTGTATATGTTTGGTGTGTTGCCTGATAGTCGGTGTTGATGTCTTTACCATTAGATGGAGTAGTCACGAACAGAGGATAAGCAACGACAAGGGGATGATGCGATTTGACTGAAATGAGAACCATCAAAGGTGCACTGACAGTAAGAGAGACACGATGTGATCACTAAATGAAAGTGTTGACAATAGTAGAACGACGTAAAGTACACCAGAGAGAATATACTTGTAGTAGCAGAAGTGCAGCAAAAAGGGAAGACAGTCAGGATACGATGCCTTCAGAGTATAATCGCTTACATTTTGTGGTAACAAAAGTAACAATGCAGAGAGGGAATAGTATGGAACGCAATAGAAATGAAGAAGAAATAACGTGTAAAAAAGAGAGTAGACTTATTTTGGTTTTTGTTAATCTCCTTTTTGAAATTGTGGATGTGTGATTGGTGCGTTCTAGTGGATCTATATAATTTAGATGAAGATAAAAGTTGTCCGTTATCCTTTTCTTTTGTTTTTTTTTCCAACCAAGAATCATGGACTCAACTGATAAGCAAAACATTATCGATATTATGAATAAGGCCTTAGCGGTTAACCCTGGTCGTACTATAGACGACGTCCATAATATCATAGACCAAACAGGTCTTCAAATGGCACAAATTTGCCATTACATTGTTTACTTGGGTGCGAATACTAGTGTTGGCTTCGAGCGCAGCCCAAAGCCGATGCCGGTAAAAGACATGATTGACTCCAATCATTTTTTGGTGGACCCGGAATATCGTTCCGCGTACCTGAAGATATGGGGATTAGATAGCCAAACGGCTACTACCAGTATTACTTCTGGAGAGGTTCCAGCATTGACTGGTAAAGAATTTGGTGTTGCTGATCTTGAAGAGGATCATCATGATCAAGGACAGGATGTGATTGATCTTGTTGATTCTGATAGGGAAGGTAGTACAGAATCAATTATTATCATTGAGGATAACGAAGGAACAGCGGTGGATGTAGAGGATGTGATAGATGCTGTTTTGGTGGGAGAAAGACGGGAATGACCAGACGATTATTAAAAAATAACTATGTCGGCGTTTTGACAATATTATAGAATAGGGATAACGAGTTGGACCAACTCACCCACCGTATTGGTACAGGTGAAGCATTTGACCAATTGTTAGAATCAACAACCTTGAATGACTTTACTTTGGACTTGCGTCAAATGAAAAGAACAATTAGTACCAGGTCTCAATTGGGGTATTGTTTTAAAATCATTATCTGTCTGTATCATTACTTGCAGTTTACGGAATACCATGTATTCAAGGGATTCGATGAATGGGAGTCCATGGAGATCACAGTGCTTAATGATGCTGATCCAGTAGGTTTTATGGATTGTAGAACGCGTGGTGAGCGTGTGTTTCGTGTCTTTCAGTTGTTAAGAATGGCAGGTATTTTGGCTGTAGAAGTAATGACGGCCAAAGCATACTCCAGATACCACCGAAGTTTTGAAGAACAATTGGAGATGTTGATGAAACATCTGTTGGCGGTTCTCATGCGTGGATTAAGTCTTCCTGCGGTTAGCTGGATCTATCGAAATATCCAACAAAAACTTGTTGTTTTAAACGAAATACTTTCGGAGATAGATGTTGCGGGTAACATCAATGGGAAGATAATTTTGCAGACCTATAGTTTGATTTAAGACTCCTGTAGCTTTTTTTATTTTATCTTTTATATTTACACATTCTTTGGTTAATAAAATTATGTATTTCATCATTGTTGATTTACTTTATTCGAGTGTTGTAACCAATTGTTGCTACTCCTCGCCATAATCCCCGAGTCCGTCTCATACCAGATTCGCGTACTTGATTGTGATCATTCGGTAACTTTAATAAGCATACTCTAAAGTACCGGATGTGGACAATTATCGAGCGAGAGTTTCCGAAGTCCACCCTACATTTATTTGTCTACAATTGTAGACTACGCCTTGAAAATAAAATTGTATGTCGTTCCTTGTTGTATAGTATATTCTGTTAAGTTTCGCTTGTTTATTGGGGCTATATTTTGGTAACTCCAGTTTGTTATCCGTCTAAATCATAAAAATCTGAGAATTCCCGTCCGTTATCCGTCAAAATCCCATAAGTTTGCGTACTCTGGTCCGTTATCCCTCAAAATCCGTTGACATTAGGGTACTCCGGTCCGTTATCCCTGAAAATCCGTTGACTTTAAGGTACTCCGGTCCGTTATCCGTTATTATGCGATAATTCAGATAATTCTGGTCCATTATCCCTACAGATCCGATACTTAAGGGTTCCCTGATTACATTAAACTAATGACCAAAATACATTATAAGAAATTAGAAACGGTTCCGAAATGGTTCAAGCATTCTAAACTTGTATGGGGATTATCTGAGCTAATTGCACATATAAGCTAAGTCGCAAACCATATCAGAACATCCTTAAACGTACGCTGAATTTCAAAAACGGATATACAGTGACCTCAAAAGTATCGTAACCGTTTAAGGTTTTCGTATTTTGTGAAATGACATCACATACTGATTCACAGGGAGACTTTCCAAACATTTTTGTTTTTCAGTTTTTTGTTATTATTAAGTTATGGATCCGGTTAACAGCGCTTCATAGGAAATATATAAGATATTATCACTCTTATAAGATGTTAAACCCTTTTTTTCCTTAACCTTCACAGAAACATTTTTATTCAAAACATGTAACCCATTCTGAGTCCACCATATTTTTGTTTAGTCGAATGCTGCTCTAATGGTATCATTGCTTTGGAGACTGGTTCCAGTATTGGCGTATTTAACAGAGCTATAAACAAAACTAATCATGATAACTCGTTCAATTAGCGGGCCTGTGAGGAGTGGATCGAGGCAAGAGCAGAACAGAATAATTATTATGGGGAGGACGAAAGAAACAGACATTATATATCTATAAGTATTAATACATATAAAATGGATGAGAGTAGAAAACGTTTAATTGAAAGAAAAAAAATAGATAAGATCTTGAATACAGAAATGTGAACAAATAAACATGATTACAGTAACAGAGGAGTGTGTGGTGACCTAGCAAGGATATAGCCATATTAGAGCTAACAAAAGTTTATCCATGCTGATAACATTTGTGATATAAGCTTTACAATAAATGTCACAGTATGAACTATAAGGATGTTACATCACAAGTCTTACTTAGTACGTCTAAGAAATGTTTAAAATTTAGTTTAAAGCAAAGAGAGTTAAGAAGACTTAACATATATTGGAACAAGACTAAATTAGTCACTATGTAATAATTGTATACATTTATGGTTAATCTATCATAACTTCAAGATAGCACTAGAGATATGAACACAGAAGACAGTCTTTTATATAAATACTGGTACATTTCATTTATTATTAAAAGACAATCTTATAATCAGTCTCAAACTACTCCGATAGTCTTTTTATAATTTTACTTTTCCTTAAAACACAACATTTACTAAGCAGTACGATACATATTTAAAGCTGTGCATTCCAAGTATATATTCATATATTCGAAAGGGTAATCAGGAATTGACAAAGTAGTGGTAACACAATACAAACCCAAAAAGCCGACAATCGTACATTTCTGGAACATGGAAAGAAGTGAAATATACTTGAAATACGGATCCAGCAAAGGGAAAATTAATCGATGACGTATTCAAGATAATTCCTCACTATAAAACCAAGAAAATAACAATATCAACAAATATTATTTTCCTAACACACTTTTAAGTATCCTACATTCTACAGATAGCTAAAAAAACTATCTCTTACACTGCTATCAAAATTTATAGAAAAAAAAATTAATTTTGTCCGAAGCCGAAAGCTATTAGAAAAAATGCATTACAAGAAAAGGATAAAAAAATATTTTTCAAAAGTCGAAAACAGTTTATAAAGATGTGGAAATATTTTTAAAAGTTTAAGACTCGTCTTTGCTGAGTATTTAAGTTGTTAAAAAAAGTATATCATATAAAGCCGATCCGATACAAGACAATCAGATATATGAACCCAAAAGATAATGGTGTCAACAGGCAAAATGGCAGACAGCAACGGTACCATTGTTTTTTTAAATATACTTGATATTTCTTTTCTCAAATCAGAAGTAATTGATTTGTAATAGTGCTCTTCACCAAATTAGCAGCCTTGTGTAAATGACTGAAAGACACCATCAGTCTTCGTTTCAACTTCTTATGAGCACCGTCAACTCTGGATGTATTGATGGTGCCAAGGTAAGGTGCTTATTGATCCCAGGGTTGGCAAAATGTTCTTTCAACGGCACCCATGTTGACTCACGATACGCAAACAGTGGGAAGTATCGTGCGTTCAACCCGCAATTATCTCTCAGGACACTCACGTTTCGCTCCCGTTCTTCTTCATTGAAACTGTTCATACAGCTATTCCATCTGACCATAAACGTATTCCAGTCAATATCTGTTTAAAACATATTTTTTGTATTTCGTCAACACGTTCTTGATGATATGCCAACGGCAGATAAGAATTATGCCGGATTCAAAAATTGTCTCTAAAGCACCTTTTAATGGCAAATCACGGTCAATAGCAATAATGCTAGTATCGAACTCCTCTAAATAGCACCAAAACCACTTCATACGTAACGTTGAAACCGCCCATTTATAATTGGCTCGGGTTTCGTGTTTTAAAAAAACACCGCACACAAAAAATGTCTTATTGAAGCAATCCATGCGAACAACGTGCAAGAATGCCATACCAAATTTGTTGGTTTTATAAGTGCAGTCCATCAAAAGCACTTGAGGAAAACGTTCAACCATTTCCAAGGAATGAGAGTGCGCAAAA